TAGACCTATCGCGTTGTATTTTAGACGATGGCCAATTATTGGTGATGGAATCCGAGGACCAGTAATCAAAAAATCCCAAGAAAGCAATGCTACCTCCCAAAGGAGCGTAACACATCGATAAGGCCAGCTTCAAACAGGATACTGCAGGGCATTACTGTTCTGTAGCTTGGGTATGGGAACGTCCTACAATTCAAGTTTGCGGAAATTCTTCAGTTTCTCTATTCACCAAAACGGCGGCATCGTAAGGCATACCTGAGCTGGTCAAAGTTTTGCTACCCGTGAGTCTATTTTCGGATCTGTGCATTAAAATCTGGCAACAATACGCACAAGGTATTTAAACGTCGCGCATCGAACGGTTACGCTTTCAAATTATCCGTCGTCATGTCATTTCAACGGTCGCTTAGGTACCAAGTTACTTTACTAGAGAACATCGATTATGGCAGAAGTCGTGAAAGGTGACATGGTTGGTCGGATTTGAGGCATGTACGTTGCAGCGAAGAGACGCTTACTGGTGTGTTCAATGAAATTCTAATAGCGCTGCATTCTCCCATTAGCGTGAAGTGAAATTTACCGGTTACGGGTACTCAACAACAAAATTTATGAAAATTCATTAAAGGCACTTTTCAATGATGGGACTAGAAAATTGTAATTTGTCTAGTTTAACGAATGTGAAAAAGTAGAGACACAAGTAATCGCATTATCACTCCGCGTACTAAATATATGAGTGGTTTACATGTGACATATCCACGCTGACTTTAAGCTGGAAAACTCAGTTACTCGAACACTCTAGACGTTTTATTTGCCTATTATAGTAGATAAACAAAAGTTTATGCAAGAAACGGGTCTGTATATAGATGCGTGTTTCTGCGAATCAATGTACGATTCTTCAGTTCTATGAGCGAAGACACGAAGGTAAGATCTGTCTGTTTAATCACTGAAGCAGGATACACTTGAAAATTGACTCCTACGTAGTAGGAGATGGATTTAAAACATTTACCAAACAGTGGATTTCAGCCCATTCATGTCTTAAATAATTAGCCAACTTTGTGAGTAAAAACGTCACTTCAGTATTCAGAGCTTCCGCAGAGCGATTCAGGTTTGACCCTTCCTGTGTTCTTAGTGAAACGTCTGAAAAAAGCAATCACTCTCGTGGGAAAAGTGATGCCCCTGAAAGATAAATGAAGACCTAGATTGACACCTTCAATGTAAAAGTAGAATTTTATGTCACGGCCCATCAGTTGGAACACACTAACTGATTGAGCACAATGAACTCACTAGCAGGCCTGCAACCATTTTGTGAATATCGACGACATTAACCTCACCAGTATATTAGCTGTGGGAAATCAGTGGTCGCCAGCTCAACTGGAAGACAGCTGTGATTTCTATGATGAGGATCTACAGAAGTTTTGATCTTTCAAACGGTTTTCTATCTCCTGTGAGTTTTCTCGGTAATTTCTAGGTCAAAAAATTGCAAGTTGGTCCTATCAGGAAAATTGAGTATTTGGTTAACCGAGACGAATAATCGGCAACAACCTTCTTGCAATAATATGTAATTCTATTTCACTGTATTATGGAAAAGCCATTTAGATCTTTCAATTGACGTTTATGTTATCGATACTCGGCTTTCTGGACTTTTGAGGTAGAATCTCTACTCACCGTGTCACTGTTTGCTAGTTTGATTGCTGAACTAGGCAGTCTGTTTGCAAACAATTCATTACCAGTCGAGATGCTTTCACCAACGCATTGACTGCAGGTGGAAGGTAAACAATTGACAGAAATATTGTTGACTCCGCAATTCCTAGTGTTATATGCAGTTATGTAAGGCTGAAGGTTGCGCTGTTTCAGGCGACTCCAACGCTTTTTGTAAGAGCTAGAAGTGCTAGAAGTTGGGACATGTTGTTCAAATTAAGAAACGAAAAACCTTCCTCTGTAAGGCGAAATATTTCAGTGTCCAAAATGGATAGTATTCAAATTTATGTGCGTAAACAACTCATAGATTCAGGTGAAACTTTTAAGTCAGGATCTCTGAAACTCATATGTGAGACTCTCGTAGCTCATTTTTTAACTGAACATTGTTTCATATTGCATGATATAATGTAGGTTGATGTGGCATCGTATGGTGCAAAATAGCATAGTATGCGCAGTATATTTGTATACATATATAGTATATGTGTAGTAGTTGTATAGTATAATACAGTAATATACATAGTATAGTATGGCGTAGTATAATACAGTGTAATGATTACGATATAGCCTGGACCAATGGAGGACAATGTACGATACGACAGAAAAATTTACTGCAACATCTCATAACATAGGATGGCATTGTCATATACCATCGTTTCAGTATCCATGCTCACTTATACTGGCTGCGAGTTGAGACCAAATGATTCCTTTCCGAACACATATCTGTTTTCTTTGGTATTCAGCGACGAATTTCCCATGTCTCAGCTTCAGATTTTCTCCCGTGTTTTGCGAAACCGAATTCCATCTACAGTCATGGGCAATCACCTCCCACACACTGTTGCTTGTGTGTGACCCTTTCACGGAACCAACAAGATAAATTGTCGCCAAACAAACTAGGCAACTATAAAAGGGTCGCACATTTAATGAATAACCTTCTGTTTGGAAACCCATAAAAAAACTAGCACTTCAAACGTACCGCGAAAGATCCGATGCATCTTGCGGTTGCCCTTTTCCATAAACAAAGTTGAAGATGTGTTGACTTATTACCAACGGTAGGCAGATGTGATTTTGTTACAAAGACACGTATAAGAGATTGTGCTAGTATGGTCATCGACCTTGTACATTTGTGAGTAAACTATGTAAAGGCCATTGGAATACGAGGGATGTAACTTACAGAGTATAGTACGTGAAAAGTGACTACCGAACAGTGTAATGAAATAGGTTGGTTCTTTAGCCACTTGGATGCTGTTTAGGGTACACCATAAACAAAGGTTCAAGGGGCCCGAGTAAGGTATTCCAAAAACTCCTCTTTAAGTTTAAATCAGCATGCGAATCTCCTCCAGCACTTTGCCGTAAATTTATACTAGTACTTAACTAAAAAATGTACTCCAAGAATCTTTCAAAGAGAAAAAAATCCGATCTTTTCATTACTTCCCGAACAATCCGTGTGTTATTTCTGTAGGCCTGAAACTGAGGCAAGGTTTTTTCCTGGTAATCAGAGGTCAACGCCATAGCCAGATATTTTTTCCTTGCAACGAAAAAACCAACAGGTTAGCTGGCATTTTCGTTAGATCCATACATCTCTTTTTGACTGCCGTCATGAAGATGGCCAGTCGAAAAATAATCACAAAGATTCAACCGATACGAAGGTTTGGTACGCAACCCGATCTTAATCATCTTGTTGACAGTAGCCCGTTCAGTCAATAGAATATCTGTCTTCGGTGCAGTTCGATAGAAACAGTACAGAAAACCTTCAGCATTGCAAAACAAACCAGTTAATGATTGTCATCTATACATCGATGTGGTGAAGACCATAAAAGTTTGGCCTGTTCTGATTTTTACGAATTATCCGCATGATCGATGCAAACAAATTTTTATCCACCGCTGTAGAATACCTTCACTCATGTTATAACTAGGCGCTCCTGAGACAGAAACTACAGAACGTTATTTTCAGTCTGTGATTCTGGTCGTTCGTTAACAAGATTTCAACCTCAGCAAAGTTAGCGGCGTGTATTACCATCATCTGGTTACTGAAGTGCAGTGATGTATACTTTTACCTACTTGTTACTGATAATTATGATGACGAAGAAGGTAGCGAACAAAACTCGTTTTCTGTGATTCTTCCCCTTGGCTAATCACGAATTTGTGTAGTACCAGAAGTCACGTGGAAAAGGTTAAGATCGGGGGTACATACAATTTAGAGAAATAGAAACCAAAGTAAGGGGAGTTGAACGGGGGATAGGTCAATGGGTCACGGAATTAGGTGAGTGACGTCAGTGTCAGACAGAATTGTGGAACCGGATGTTTTGTAGGCCAGTTCAAGTTCAGAGGTCGCACAAGTTTCTTTCGGACACGAAGTTGTGCATCCAGCAGTCGGATTCCAATCGCCTCCGCGATCGATAGCAGTCTGGATCGTACCAGTCGTGATCGGTTCAGAGGTACCCGGTATATGATGGTAAAGGCTTGCTCCTTGTCTGTGACATGACTGGTTTCGGTCAAATATGATGCAATTGCGCTTGAGCCTGGTTTCTTCCCACTACCACTCAGAGATACGGGATTGTGTTCTCGCATTTTATCCGACAAATGCCTTGTCGTACGACCAACTTATGGTGCTCGGCACTAGCATACAAACGATAGTTAGTTCGAAGTGTAGATTCATGGGCGGTTCCTCTCTCGAATAAGCAAACACCACAGTTCATTGATCTGTACGTAGATCAGGCGTCGCAAATTTCGATCAGTAGCTGTACGGAGTACTACTTAGTCAGAGTTGCATGGTTTGCATTGTGTTTAAACTATGCTTAGGCTTCAACTAGATGTATCGCTGTGGTGAACAAAGCCCGATTTATACGACTGATCATGTCACTAATATACTTCAGTTTTGTATGAGTACATACTCACATGCCTCGCTTTTGAACGCTCGTCCTTCTGTCCTGGTGCAATCATACTAGTCAGTCCAACACCGTAGGGGAAAGCACTGGCCTGGAGTTTCGCTCTTATTAGAGCTCGTCAGCAGTTTCTGTCCAATGACCAGTCTGATGTAAAGAACAGAAAATGATGGGAATGGGAGACGGATGTGGTCCAGCACTAATGGTCAAGATTTTTTATTTGAATGAAAGGATCGATTTATTGATTTACCCACACTCTCCAAGCCTGGATCTTTGCCTGCAAACTGTTCGCACCATTGTCAACGAAGGTATCCATCGTGGTTGCTCAGATTTGGATAATAATCGGGTTCTCAGATGGTGTTCGACGGCTGGGGATCTGGCAAACGTTGTGAGAGGCTCCAGTATTACCTATAACTTGAGTGAATTCAGCTAGATGGCCAAATGTTTGCACCCTTCTTTGGGGCATACACCGTCAATCCATGGGACCCATTAACTGACAACGCCTCATATGACCTCGGAATGGAAGCGCAGGCAACTTTTGGAAATTTCCTAATTCTTTCAACAGATCACCCAATTCGTCTTCCGGTGAGTATTTGAACAAAGCATGTTTTCATGTTCACGTCATTCTTCAGCATTTCCTTCTTGAGTTAACTCCAGATGCTTTTTGTTTCTTTGACACAGTCTTAAACCAACAGCGCACTAAAGATGTCTCCTCGAATGGTGACGAAACGTTTGCAAATCAACTGCCAAGCTCGGCAAACGGATCAACAACCACCTCATCAATGATCCAGTATTCAGAGTCCCAATACCTTGACTAATGTGCGCTGGGTTTACTTACATTATTAGAGCCAGGATCAACTTTTTTATTCTGGAACCCACAAGTGTATTGCTTTTTGGAGTTTCTGCTGAGGATTTCGTAGCACATGCTGCTCTATTCCATGAACATAAAGGTGATATATCACATCACCCATGATCCGATCAATCAACACGCTCATAGTGCAGCCACTGGGTCTTTAACAGTAGATTTCTGGCTTTTCCCCATAGAGATTATGTTTTGAGTCGTTCTGATTCCTGTTTATATGATGTCTACGCGGCATTTCATCAGCATTCTAGTTTTCCCCTCACAGAAACTTCGCCTGCCAATAGAACGAATTGCGTTTTGCTAGATGTTTGCCAAAATGGGATTAACAAGACGCTGATAGTAACATAACAGTTTCATGGAATCCTTCTGTGTATAAGAGCTTGATATAGCAATAAAATATCGATGAGGAACCTCGGAACACAAAATACAACTATACCTATTGCTTAAGTGCGATCAAGTTCCCAAGCTTCGAGGTGAACATTCAGTTGCACGTTGCGCATCTCGATACGCTGTCCCTAACGGACTAGCCAGATGACGGAGTTACACTTCCCAGTGCTACTCGTCCACTCTATGGAGAACACATCTAGTTCTCCAATTTCACCGTCACCTAGTGAGCACAGTCGAAAGACTGTTCAAATGAGACTGATGTGAGCAAATACTTTATTAACAATCAATTGAAGTGGGTTTTTTACTTCTGGGAGTTATTACGCGTATGGACGAATAGGCGAATTTTTCAAACAGTAAGTCGCCCACAATTCTCCAATAGATATTATCAGTTTCAAACAAAACCTGTCCATTTAATGCCTACAGATGTACGTGCACCACATCACAGAGATCAACACAACTGTGGTGTAAATGGGTGAGTAACTTCAAAGATGAAAGTAAAAAAGAAACGTGAATATCGTGGCAAAGATTCACCTTTTCCTAGGGACAAGGGAAATTTATCTGCATCTTCTAAATCCATTGCAATAAATAGTAGTCCAACGTGACCTCATGCAACAGAAAACGAGAAAACAAGGACATGAAAATTGGAAAATGTCTGGGACCGACTGGGTAGTCATCGTTTCAGAGGGTTTTTGTAGAAACCTCGGTGGATTTATTGCTGGAAAAGTTTCGCTTTTGACAAAAAAGGCTTCGTCAGGCCAAGTGAGTAAGTTGTCAGGTCGTGAGATTTCTCATGATTAGACGACTTGATCAGTCCTGCAGCTTATACTACTTCTCAGCACATCCAAAAGCAGTATATACTAGTTTTATTTCAGCAGTATTTAGTAGAGCAAGGTCACTGTTCACAGAGGAGGTCAACTGAACTGCGGCACAACTGAGGTAGCGGATACCCAGTGGGTTTAACTAAGCGGTATTTGTCCAGTCACCAAGACCCAACAAAGAGTGGATATGAACGCAAGTCATTCCGTACAAAACAGGGACAATTGAAGTTACTAGAATGGTGTTGAATGCGACTAACATTAGCATTCCAGAAGGAGTGCAGTTGATGGACGGTCTTCTGGGTTGTAGGACTTGGGACTGTATGCACAAAATAAAATATACTGACTGTACGAAGGTTTGTATAGATCAGACAGCCAGAAGATTGCACACAGAATCGGTGATCATAGGACGTGTTAACGGACCATCTAGAAACAAAGATGAATATCAGGCTATATTTAATGATTCAGCAGTGGTAGGGCATGTACCGGACACGGCACAGGAGAATTTGAGCACTTTGAGAAGAGATATAAGATTCATACCCTAGCGACCGGTGGGCGAGGCGGTGAATAGAGTAGAGGGCGTAGAGCTGGCAAGAATGTGGAGAGAGTTTTGAGATCCACTGAGATGAAACGAGGTGGTGTGCAGTCATCAGTAAAATGATCTGGGTTTAAAGGTCAAAAATTCAGACGGAGTAAGATACAATTGACTACCCCTTCTGAACCCCAATCCAGTTACCCTTTCACCTATCAGCGCATACGGACGAACATAATCTGTGAACTACCCCTAGGATGAATAGCCCGGAAACATGTCTTAGACCAAAAAACGAAGACTGCAAAATTCGGTTTCGACATGAAGACGAACCCCTTACCTATCGTAAATGATAGTCATTCTCTCTAACAGGAATTTCAGACGGATACGTAGCACTGGTCAAGTCAGCAAATCATAAGAAATCTCACGCATTTGTACCCTGGTTCTCTTAAAGCCCAGGAATTTCAGACGGATACGTAGCACTGGTCAAGTCAGCAAATCATAAGAAATCTCACGCATTTGTACCCTATTTCTCTTAAAGCCCTATCACGCTGATAACTTAATCATCTGGCTTGACGAAGCTTTTGTGTCAAAGGCAAATGTCGCCCAACAATAAATCCACCAGTTTTTTAACCAAGCTCTTTGCAAAAGGTACATGAACTCTAGTTAACAGTGAAGATGGGAGGTGACACCTGTGCCACTGGGACCGTTTATATTACCTTGATATGTATGGTCGAAGGCACTGCTCGGGGAATCACTCGACCCTCCACCGGGAATGTGTGAAAATCTCACAGCTCTCAGCTCCATTGTAGCCGCCCATGCTTTACCCAACCTTAAGATTCCCGATCATCTTCAAATAGTTTATCAGCCTCCCTTCCGAATGAAAATCAAAGCACTCCTTGGTACCCGGTTTTGGATACACACATTACAGGACTCAGATATGTCGACCAGGTGGCTGTTGATAAGATCGCCGAACGTTAGCTTCGGAAAAATTCGTCATTGACAAATGGCAAACCTCATAAATGTCGTCCGTGCCTCGTTAATGCATGCATCAGCTTCATTCCTCAGCACGACCACACCTTATGTGACCGCGATGCAGGTCGATAAGCAACCTCAAACTTTTCGGTTTGAAGTCTAAAAATGCCACACGAAGGCTAAAGGTCTTGAAGCGAGACTTTGCACAGTGAGTGTGTCAAACGCATCTCAATGCAAGGTCCTATTTCTGACATTATCCTTAGGTTTAACTACGAGCAACTGGTTATCTTTGTTCTGTGGCCCAACGACACAGAACAACGGCAAAATCACCAAGCCAGTTAACGTCTAAAGGAAGGATGACTCGCTATTGTGATTTGACGGTCTGCCGATGCGAGACCGTGATTTCGATTTGTGGAGGGACGACCTGGGTGTGGGGAAGGACAAGTCGGNAGATAGGGGACGGACATAGGTGGGTAATTAGACGCATTGACATATGGCAGTACCGGGTGATACAGGGTCCGTGAGAAGTTTGTCGCATACAAGTAGAAATGTCTAAGCACGCAGTCAGGGCACAACGATGAAGGGAAGGAAAGCCGTTAGGTCAGATTCAATACAAATCCACCAATCATTCTCCATGTGCCATTTCGATTCCTAAATATTCAATCCCTTAGCTCGCCCATTCCATGTTTATATCAGTTACAAAACTTATCACAAATAGTGGCAGGACAGATTTGGCGAGCTTATCTTGTAAGAGAAACTCTGGACCGTTCACTGTGTTAAAATGGAGAGCAAAACTTATGGTGACAAACTTCAACAGCACTCTTCTTTGCCCGAGTACGCTTTTTGAATGCGTACCTTTTTCTAACAAAGGTATGATGACTGGTTCGTGGCGGTTTTCTTGATTTTCAAATATGTTCGGACAATTTAGTCAAAGCAGAACATAGAGACTCGAAACCGTCTCTGATTGGAATTGTTGAAAGGTCGTCTTACCCGGCTGGTAGCATTTCAAAAAGTAGCAAGGCGTAATAATATGCTGCTACCTAGAGTATTCAAACTGACACACCATAGTCCACCTTCAGTGAGTTGAATGAACAATATTGGATACTGGCTGAGAGTCAAGTTAAATGTTTTTAGTAGAGATCTCTTAGTGTAAATTGAGCCAGTCTGTTGAGCGAAACCGAGAAGTGTCCTACACCTGTTTCATCCTTATTGAGAGTCATCACTAGTGCGCAATTCACAAAATTTCAGTTGCTATTAAAAATATTCCAACAAGTGATCTAAACACCGGTGTGTGCGAAGTTTTCGATACGACCTTTTATGAATTTTAGTGACAAACGGTCCTCTGTGTCCGATTCTGCGAACTAACCGCACCACCTTTTGCCCTCCTGCGGCCTCGTCCATTTATAAAGTCTGATCTAAGCTGAACTCTAACCGACCGTCTACCAAAATCTTACAAGGAGCTCAATACCTTGGTTGTTTTGCATCTAGGACTGACCATCGCTCCTCTATGTGCGCAGAATTTCCTGGGTTTACCTCTTCACAGAAATCAACATCGTTCTCGAAAGAGGTCAGTATTGACATTCTATTTGAGGCCTAAATTAAATGCTTTTTCACAAGTGACTCTGATGAACTAATGTGTTCAACTCATGAACTGAATCTCTGGCTAGTACGATTCTGTCTGAACCATTCGCTATGGACAAGAAGGTGGATAGAAGCTGGTAAAATCTATAACTAGCTGATGCATAAACTGAATACAGAGCAAATAGTGTTTCGAAGACTTTCAGTTTCAATACAAGTGGATATTTGGTGATGAGGTTCGGATGTTCATAGATATGCACTCAATCAAGGTGGCATCTTCTAGCTATCTGAGGGGTATGTCAACACAGGCCCAGTCAGTTGAGCAGCTGTAGCGCCACATGAAATCTGTATTTGGTGTGCCTCAGACAGTGTATGCAGTATACTCACAACCAGTATACTTAAGTCCCGTTCCAGAAACTTAGTAAATTTTCAACTTTGG